GAACCAAAAAAAAAAAAAAAAAAAAATTAAGGGTTTAGGAGAGGGAAAAAATTTTTAAACCCAAAAAAAAAAAAAAAAAAAAAAAAAAAAAAAAAAAAAAAAAAAAACTGCAAAGCATGTGAAAAAACACAACTCTTGAGAACTAACATATTTTGTAAGTTTATTTAATCTTTGTTTTTAAAACGTGTTAAATAATGGCAATTTAAAAAACGTACAATGATGAGCAATGTGGCAAAATGTTACTTAATGACATCACCGTTGGTGTTATGACTTTACAGCAAACAAAGTATTCAATTGCTTCGCTGGCTAAATAACATCATTTCAACGAAGTGGTTGGCTTATTAAAAAGTTCAGAGATCGAGTTGAAGTATCACGCAAACCTACTGGGGTCTTCAAAATGCACGCCTCTTTGGGGCCTTGTTCATTTCCTGAAATTATAATGACTTGTGAATAATTCTAGTTTTCATTTTATTTAAAATGTGCATAGGCCACTTGAGAGGATTCAGAAAAGGAATCTTTACGATATTGTTTTAAATGCCCATCGTTCTTTGCTTGCATGTAAATTAAGCATTTCTACTCAAGGAAATTATATTCGAGTTCACATCCTCTTTCTCTCTCTCCATCTCTCTCTCTCTCTCTCTCTCTCTCTCTCTCTCTCTGTGTGTGTGTGGGGGGGGGGGGTGTGAGGGTGTGTGTTATTTGGCAAATAAAGACATTTGTACTTACACCTCCAATCCAACAGTGACCAAATCAAACTGCAAAAATTGTAACTGAACAAATCGTACAATAGTATACAAAGAAACAAATTAATATATCTAAACTAACCATTAGGCCTATGTTCAAACTTCTTCGGTCATGACGTCTAACCATGGGGACCAAATTTACCAAAGCCAACTCCCTGGAACGTGAAAATGTAAGTTTTGTAATCTATGAAGATTATGTTGAGTCTATTTGCAAGTCAACTTTAATAACGATAAATTATTCTCCTAAAAGGTGTCAGTTCATTTGTTCTCTTATACCCATTTGTTCCACTTGATATTTTCAGTATGACCTCACGTGCGACAACGCGTGGCAGCTGAGCACGTGCAGTTCCGTCTTCTTTGGTGGTAAACTGGTGGCGATATTGGTGTCAGGGATTCTGTCAGACAGGTAACGTAATACATTGTACATGTTATTCCAAATGGGCATTTCTTCAACTGCTAAGAAAGAACATATTTGAGAAATAAACTACACAGTTTTTCAGGTTTGGACGTAGGCCTATTTTCCTGGGAAGTGTTGTAGTATTGGCAGCCTCTGGGATTGGGTTAGCGTTTTCTCCAAATATGGCGGTTTTCTGTATTCTCAATGTTATTCAAGGTGCCAGTGATTCCAGCATGTACATATCACTTTATACAATGGGTAAGTAAGGGCAGTTATTTCATTTTCTAAACTGTGACACATCTTTGAGCAAACAGACCTCCTATCTCTTATTAAAGTGCAGGCCGTATAACTCACTAGAGTACCCCCGGCCTATGTTGTCCATGATGACCAAAATATGTTTTAAAATGCATTGCTATTTCAAGGTGAAAATCAATTGACAAACTGCATATGAATTTTAAAGTGGATCATGTGCGAATGATTACGTCCCTTTCGCACCACTAGGTATGGAACTGGTGGGAACAAAGTACAGAAAATTAATAGGAATGGGCATGGCAATATCCTTTTATTTATTCAGAAATTGGCGCTATCTGGCTTTGGTAGCTTGTTCACCCGCTGTTATTATTATATTCTTCTATTTGTAAGTATGGCTTGGTTGGAACATTTATATCAGTACTTTAGCAATAAATTTAGTTAGACTTATATTATTATTTTAATGCATGATTGAAACGGAAGAATCCAATTCCTGCAGTGAAGCTAAAGTGCATTTTATTTTATTGTTANCTGTATCCTCTATGTTATTCAAGGTGCCAGTGATTCCAGCATGTGCATATCACTTTATACAATGGGTGAGTAAGGGCAGTTATTTCGTTTTCTAAACTGTGACACATCTTTGAGCAAACAGACCTCCTATCTCTTATTAAAGTGCAGGCCGTATAACTCACTAGAGTACCCGGGCCTATGTTGTCCATGATGACCAAAATTTCTTTTAAAATGTATCGTCATTTAAAGGTAAAAATCAATTGACAAACTGCATATGAATCTAAAAGTGGATTACGTGCGAATGATTACGTCCCTTTCGCACCACTAGGTATGGAACTGGTGGGAACAAAGTACAGAAAATTAATAGGAATGGGCATGGCAATATCCTTTGGCTTAGGACACACGCTTCTGGCACTTGAGGCATATTTACTCCATATTTCTTGCCCCGCTTCCCTTTTACTGGTGGCTATTTTAAAAAATAAACTAGTGCTTATGACCGACGGGCAATGTCTATTGATTTTAAAGAATATGTATATTTACAGTAAATGTTTCAAGTTATTTGCCACTGTAACTTACCTTTTAATTATTGAATGGTTTATTATATATTAAAGTTTTCCAGTACTTAATATTTACCTGTTCCACAGCTGTAAACATGCATATTATACGTTAAAAACGTCACAAAAGGTGTTTCCGATAGTATTGTTACATGTAGTATTAGGTTCCCACCACGCAATTGCTTAACATTTCTGTAAAATTAATATATATCCATGTAATTATCATGGTATTTCCTTAAAGTTGGAGATCTACCTTTGTGATAAAACTTCAAACCTGCTATTCAACCTCCTATTGGCTATCGGACTTCGTAACAATTCAATATTTGAAATATGGGTACTTTGGCTCCTTTCTGTATGAAATTTACACTCTTTTTTATTGTTTTATCTTTTCAGTTTGAAAAATCAAGCTCAGCAAGATGAAAGAGACGCTGATGAAGTGGAACTTGAAAATATGAAAAGTGACCAAATTGCAACAGGGTGAAGTGGATCGAGACCTGTTCACTTGGGTCTTTCACATTGGCAGATTAAGTGCCTCCCCTACCTCAGCTTATGACAATTTACGTACTACAGTTATATTAAGAAAGACATAATTTTTTAATTATTATACCCTTCGTAAAATTCTCGGCCTTCGATTGGTCAGTTACAGTGCCCTAATGAGTATAGTATGCGTGTAGTTTACTGCTGTTCTTCATTACTCATAACTAGTCCTCTGATTGGTCAGTTTTAAAAACCTGTTAAAATGAGGTTAATTGTCACATAAGATGTCAAAATTGTCTGGCTGTGGTGTTATTTTCACTACATTTCATAAAATATTTAGAATATTTTAATTGTTTAGAAGTGATAAAGGCAGCCGTTACGGTGACACCGACTAAGTATGTTGCATTTCTTGCCTCCATGTACGAAATTGGCAAATCATTTACATCTCATCCAGGTTTGGCCTTACAGTAATCTGAAGCGGACTTCCATGTTGCATCATAAAAAAAAACTTGTTGCAGATACCACTGTTAGATTAACAGAAGAGCAATGCGTTAGGCACGTGGTCAACAAGCATTAGGCAGTGAAGTGGTCCAGTGAACGAATTACATACAAAACAGCAACTAGAGATGCTTTTTACTCCTTGGACGCATGAAGTAGTGACGGAGCACAAATGAGTTAAAAAGTATGTAAACTGACTCAGGTTAAGAGAGTTATACCAGTTGTATTCGTATTGAGGTGGCGAGAATTGATCTTAAGGTGTAAAAAGTATAAAGTAAAACGTGACTCGAGATAGTACCTGTAGCTCAGATCAGCTCGCGAATTTTAAACTAGTGATTAATTGATCATTTCACACTTAACTATGACAGATCCATCCAGATGAAGTGAACTTCAATAAAAATGCTGATCGTAGTCAATATCTTTACAAATTACTACAGACGTTGCTAGAAGTTTAAAACACATAAAACATTTTATTGAGTTTCAATGTGTTAGAAATTCGGTCTCTTTGACAGGATTTTAAGTAAGGCTATTCCTTCGCAGGGAACATGTCATTTTCATGGTCAATAAACGTCAAAAAAAAAATATATATATATATATATAATAAAATAATACTTGTGTACGACGTACTTGTTAAAATATATTCTTGACAGTACAAATTGCCCAAATGCCTTGAACCAAACTGAAATACACGTTAATTTTAAGCTAACCAATAAGAATTATACTTTTAAAATTAAGCAAAGTAATATCTAAAAAGAACTAGATACGTAAACATTGATTAATCTCAGTCTCAGTACACCGACTACCAGACTATTTTAGTTAGCCAAACATGACTATTGACAACGGTTGTAATACATGAAGATGGGGTGATGGGCTAAATATTTGTCACATTACGGGCTCCGAGTTCCAAGCCCTCAGCTCCATCGGCACGTTTACTGTCAACGTCAACACTGTCATTACTTAGGTCTTTCAACTCTTCACCAGTTTGACGGTCAACGCTCTCGTGGTCCACAGTAAACTTAAGGCTAGAAAAGGAAAGAAAAGAACAATCAAAACAAATATGTCTTGGTCTGACTTATCGTAAACGGCCATTGGTCAAAATCTGTTCATCAGCCTAAGGTTGAAGTGTGACCTATAAAAAACCCCAGTATATGTAACACAAGTATATGTATCAAAAGAAAAAGGCTGAAATATTTTAAGTTCATTAACAATGATGTATGATTTTGGTGTTGCCCATCAAGATTTGCCAAAGACCCAACTTTTTAGGTTAATATTGGACGAAAATTCGTCCCCAAGCGGTAAAAATTATAACCAGTGTAAAAGGGGCTAAAGGGAATTTCAGATATGTCCAGGCCCCGTACCACCATAAATATATAGTTACCTGCCATGATTAAGTTTGGCATCCCATTCCTCTATAGTCTGTGGGAGCGACTTCCCAAGAGTTTCGGGTAGTAATATGGCCAACAAGCCGCTGCCAACAGCAAGGGACCCCAAAATGATGAATGGCAAAGGCGAATATATCCGGCCAAGGGCTAGGACTTGTGGTGCCAAAGCGGCACCCAATCTGGCCACGGACACAGTGAGGGAGATTCCCGACTGCCTGTAAAAAAAAGAGATTAAAATTTAAAACATATCCGAAGGACACCTAATATTTGGAGCAAGTAAGCCGATGGAACTTCATCACGTGCCTTTGGAAAAGGAATAATAAGTAATTAAGATGCGAACCTATGTAATGGACGCCTGCTTAAATACTAATTCAGTACTTGTGTAGCTCAGTTTGCATTTCACGGTGTGTGCTTGGATTCATATCTTAAATAAAATTAGTGTACTCTTCATTTTACAACCTGTCTATAACTTTCAACATAACTTTTATTACAAATTAAATCATTGGAATGGATATAATCGGCCACTTAATTACCTTACTACAGTGGGATAAACCTCAGCTGTTAACATTAGCATTACACTTCCCGTAACAGAGACCATCATCTTCCCTACTACAGCCATTGTTATTATCAGCCACTGTAAATCTGGAAGTGTCTGATGGACATCAATTTACAGAATCATTTTTAAATGGCCAAGGAGACAGAGGTAGCTCTCTGCATCAATAAAACACATTTTTCTTTTAAGCAAAGATAGTAGCATTAAATTTGCATTCATTTTAAAGTTAAATCAGGGGATCAGAATACAAACTTTGTAATGAATAATGTGTGACGCACAAGCGTCCCTACCGAGATAACTTATGTTAAGACAGTTACTCAGTCCTTTAAGTTACCTGTAGGAAGCAAGCCTGACACAATACAGGCAATTCCACCGATGCAGAACGTCACAACAATTATACTCCGGCGACCAACTCTATCTACAATAAACACGGCTACCAATAGCCCTGGAACATCTGCAGCTCCCAGTAAGGCAAAATTAATGTATATGTTGCCACCAAGCCCTTCTGAATGAAGTACAATACCATAGTAGGTCAAGTCGAGAATAAACCTGAAATTATTTTGCAAAAAACTGGCTGAAATATTTGTAGATGTCAATCAGACACGAGCGGGGCGGAGAAAATTCAAAAAGCAAATTTTAAGATATTTGATGAGTGGTACGTACGTAGATCCAATCCTACGAAGCATATTTTGCAATTTCTAGAGAAGCATTTAAAATGGCCGCCAACATATGTACGTGACATCTATCTCAAATCACCTTTAAAAAAGTTTTAACTTAAAATATTAAAATATTGTTTTTAATTATTCAATTTAGTGGCATCTATCCCACCTGCATGTGGTCATTATTAAAGCAAATTTAGCTCTATTCCAAGTCCTAAACAAGTCAATAGGAGTGTGTGTGGATGTCTGCTTTTCCTCGTCTCCTTCGTTAAATAGACGCTCCAGTGTGTCCTCTTCAAGCTTAACCTTGTTAACTACGGCAACTTTGGTAATGATCTTCTTCGCCTCCTCGTGCCTGCCACGTGCTAGTAACCACCGCGTTGGTTCTGACAGAAAGCTATCAAGACATGTAAGAAATATATTTATCCGATTAAAATTATCTTTCAAATAGCAAATGTAATATGAAAAGAAGACATATATCTGTAATATACATGTAGATAATATATTCAAAAAAAAAAAAGGTTACATTCTAATTGTTCCTGCGTCTCATTCCAGGAGTTGTTCTAGTAATAGTTTATACACATACTGTTAATGGCGGTATCGCTTACTTATCGTCATTGAATCTAGCTGTCAGCAAATTTAACGTTTTATAAAAGAAAGTATACCTACAACCAGGAAAAAATTAAAATGACGCCGGGTGAGCTCGCCACCAGAGCTAAATATCGCCAGTTGGAAAGTAAATAGGCCTCAATGGCTAGAAGGGCGTGTCCTAATCCAAAACACACACCCATAAAAACGCCAGCGATTTTTCTCTTACTTGGACCGACATATTCCATTCCTATAACAAATTGAAAGTGATCAAGTTCGACTTCTAAAATAGAAAACTGCGCTAGAGGTATAATATGAAATAATTAGACCAGTTACTTCAACATGATTTCGACTCTTACCCATTGTATATAGCGCCAGAAACATACTGGAGTCACTGGCGCCCTAGATGACGTAAAGGACACAAAACGCCGACATATTCGGAGCAAACGCCGATGAAATCCCCGACGCCACCAGTATTATAATGCCAATCAGGAATACAGGGCGACGTCCGAATCTGTGCAGTGAAGAAAAGAGATAATAAAAACTCCTTCTTTTCATTGATTATGGCAAATTGCCATTTACTGTCTAGATCTCTGACTCTGATTATATATATATATATATAGGCCTATATATATATATATATATATATATATATATATATATATATATATATATATATATATATATCTTCATTCTATGTGGGAAGACGTGAATGAAAAAAACATACCGTTTGACGTTAACCTACATGTACATATCTGACATCTGACAACATTTAGGCCCCGAATCTTTGTTTAACAACATCATCATCATCATCACCACCACTTATATCTTTGCATCAGTAACAGATTCGCCCCTCAGAACCGTTACCTGTCTGACAGCAATCCCGTCACCAGCATTGCCAGCGGTTTAAAGACGTAGAAAACCGAACTGCAGGTGTCGGTTTGCCATGCGTTCTCACACGCAAGATCAAACTGAAAAATTATATGACAGATCAATAGCCGTGATGATGAGTCTCATTGGTCTGCATCACATCACAAAATAAGCCTAATCGATTCTAAAAGATGTCGTAACGTTGATCAACATGCACTTAACAGCATCACTTATTCTTGAGCGGCCTTTTGCAAATCTAGATCAACAACAAACACGGTGCTAGCACAGTTTTTTTTACCTCAGAAACAATGGTAGATTCATAGATGTTCTTGCTGTATACTCTTTGTCCGGGGCAGTTATAAGTTTCCCTCTTCTCTCCAGAAGCTTGATTCCAGGGGATATGAAAGACCGATTTAACTGAATCATTAAATGTTATCATTCTTCCATTTAGAACTCTATTTTCGTCAGGTGGGGCGGACGAGAAACTGCTATTTGGCAATGTAGGAAGTGTAGAATTCAGGTACTTTTCGTCAACGCGATACAGTTCACAACCACTGCGCTTTCCTTCCTTTGTGTACGGTACAAACAGCTCTAAAAGCTCTTCACGTGTAACATTTCCATACAGCCTAGTCACGTGTTCTACCTGTGCCGCAGGTATTTTACAATGGTGTTCTGGTTCGGCCCCGTAAAATACTATGCCCAATGTGGATAATACTGAGTAGAAAGTTATCATGCATATCAAAGCGTATCTGCGTTGTTGGTACGTACCGAACTCGCCAAGTATCTTGAGAAATTCATCGAAATTCATTTTGCTGTTGAAATGGGAAACTGGTCAGCAGGTGTTGATTGCTAAACTAATACAATGAGTACACTAAAATTTACCCATAATGCCAGGCGCACAAAAAAAGCGTCTGTATCGCAATATACACCTTCTGGTCGTGAGGTTTTTCTTATTGCAACAGACTAAATATCCCAACACTGTGAGCTCACATATTCTAGTAAGAGAGCTCGGGTCGATGCGATAAGACGTGACCTTAGATTAAGATTGTAAAGTAAATCAACAAGACCGGTGAGATACGGATGCTGCATTCAGTACCTATTCAAACGCCGTTTTCAGTGTGAGGGGGTGGTCGGTTGAAATCCACATCAAAATAAAAACTAGCTGGGCTTCTGAGAACGTGTTTCCACAGCGAACCTTGCTAAAAACCTTGAGATAGCTTCGAGAAACTTTAATTTTTTTTCTGTATATACAGATCCCAAGTATCTTTTATGAGGCCTGTTACCAGAATGAGTTAATATCAGTTCGCTAGTGCTCTGTAAGATACGATAATGGATATCACTATAACGCCGAACTTTTACTTTTGAAAAAAAAAATTATGCTTAAATTCATCAAGTTCGATTTGAATTAAAACTGCTACAGTAAAAGAATAAATAAGATATTAAGTGTTCAAGAGAGTGTAAATTAGTAATTAAGTCCTCAAAAAACGCTGCAAAACATGTGAAAAAACACAACTCTTAAGAGCTAACATATTTTGTGAGTTTATTTAATGTTTGTTTTTAAAACGTGTTAAATAATGGTAAAAAACGTACAATGATGAGCAATGTGGCAAAATGTTACTTAATGACATCACCGTTGGTGTTATGATATTTCAGCAAACAAAGTATTCAATTGTTTCGCTGGCTAAATAACATCATTTCAAAGAAGTGGTTGGCTTATTAAAAAGTTCAGAGATCGAGTTTCTTTAGTTAAAACAATGTATAGCCAAGGCAAGATGTGATGGCATTGGCGAGTCTGTCCGTCATTTGTTAAACTTCCAGCGTGAGCGTCGTTTGGAATGTTCATGTATATGATGACTATAGTTGAAGTATCACGCAAACCTACTGGGGTCTTCAAAATGCACGCCTCTTTGGGGCCTTGTTCATTTCCTGAAATAATAATGACTTGTGAATAATTCTAGTTTTCATTTTATTTAAAATGTGCACAGGCCACTTAAGAGGATTTAGAAAAGGAATCTTTACGATATTGTTTTAAATGCCCATCGTTCTTTGCTTGCATGTAAATTAAGCATTTCTACTCAAGGAAATTATATTCGAGTTCACATCCTCTTTCTTTCTCTCTCTCTCTCTCTCTTTCTGTGTGTGTGTGTGTGGGTGAGGGTGTGTGTTATTTGGCAAATAAAGACATTTGTGCTAACACCTCCAATCCAACAGTGACCAAATCAAACTGCAAAAATTGTAACTGAACATATCGTACAATAGTATACAAAGAAACAAATTAATATCTCTAAACTAACCATTAGGCCTATGTTCAACCTTCTTCGGTCATGTCGTCTAACCATGGAGACCAAATTTTCCAAAGCCAACTCCCTGGAACGTGAAAATGTAAGTTTTGTAATCTATGAAGATTATGTTACACTGTAGGTCTATTTGCAAGTCAACTTTAATAAGGATAATTTAAGATTGTATGTTTAAAGAAAGCAAGATACATGAACTGAATTATAAAAGGATTTGCCTTTGATTTCAATTTAAAGATCTAACGTTCGCTAAGCATTAGCTTTATTATTTTTTTTCTTCATGTAATTATGCACACACACTGAATATTTGAAAAAATGTTTTCTACAGACTGCTTCAAATAAAATTCATATAAATGATGAATTAGAAACTTCCCATCTCAAGTTCAGAAAATTTGTTTCCAACAAAAGTAACTAAAACCTTGAATTCAAATGTGAAAAACTAAGGGCACCATTTTTGTTATAATAAAATGAAGTTCCACTGACCTTGCCGAGACCCAGTCCGTAACCAACACCGCCATAGCCGCCGAGGCCGAATCCACCGAGGCCAAAGCCCTTGCCGAAACCGCCGAGACCACCGTATCCGATGCCCTTGCCGAAGCCTCCAATTCCGCCGTAGCCGAAGCCCTTGCCGAAACCGCCGATACCTCCGTAGCCGAGACCGCCAAAGCCGCCGAAACCCTTGCCGATGCCGAAGCCACCAATGCGACCGATGCCACTGCCGTAGCCAACTGGATATCCCTTCAGGCCTGGGGCGGCGTAGGCGACGGCGGCGAGGGCCAGGAGGAGAGCGATGCACTTCATCATCTTGACTGTGGAGGTTGTTACCTTTAATGCAGTGGAGTAAAGACAGCGTTCTCCCCTTTGCCTTTTATAGGCCCCAGCACCCTGGTGTTCTGTGCGTGATGTTAAACATTTTCCAAGGTCGTGCATGGAGCGTTGATGCCCTGACATAAAGGCTTTGTAAGCTGTTCAGCAAATTTACAACGCTTCTTCTTGTTCATGAATTTGAATCTCAAAATTCCCACCACAAAATTAACAAGGCTTTTACTCGAATAATGTGCAACATAACAATATTCCCTTTTCAAGGTGAAGATATTAGAGCCTTTTATATCATTTATCTATTTCATTTGAGATACAATGTGAAATTCCACGATACAAAGATAACGTTTTGGCATATTTTAATGAGTTAATTTTGGCTAAAGGCTGATTGTGAAACTAAATATGTAATTTATTTTAAAGGCATATGGCATAACATTTATTTTGTATCAAAATTAAAAAAGAATGTTGTGGATAGATTTGTAGGAACAACACCGATGATTTAAAAAAAATATATTAGAAAATTTTACGTTTGTACGTTACAATACTAAAGGAAACTAGAGGAAACGTTCTTCGGATTTAACATACTGTACACAAATATAATCCTCGACACGAATGTTTTTATAAAAAGCATTTAACAAAACAAAATAATGTGATTATAAAACACTTGGACAGTCAAAATATAATGAAATATGCACTGAAGATCAGATTGTTCAAAATATAAGTGTGACATTAAAAAAAAAAAAAAAAAACATTTTACAAAAAATGACCCAGTTACTGGCGTCGTGTAGAAAATAAGTATTATGATACATTTCCTTGGCAGATTTTAACAATGAAGAATTGGGGGATGATTAATGGTCCAATTAATAACGCCTTGTTAGCGTTCGTTATCACGACCACTTAACGGGCATTTCACGTGTCCAGACTTGACACGAGATACTATACGGTGTATAAAACATACACTAAATGCTGTAATGAAGAAGAAGATGGCCAATAATTGTATACGTGTAATTAGCACTTTGAAGTGGCAACGTCCATTTCAATTAGCATTTCATTCATGAGATGGTCCGCTCTGTACCAGGAAATCTACAAACTGACACGCTAGCTTATCAGCAATAGAGAAAAGACACTGAACTGTAGAAAATGACGAGGGGGGGGGGGGTCTTCAAACAAATCGTCACGGTATTTGTGAAGTGTCCTTTCCTTTCGTATAAAATCCCTGGCACAGTGTGATATGGTTGCTTTTCAATGAAAGATAAAGAAGGCCCTTGCTTTCTTCGAGCTGAAACAAGTTTTGTGTCTGAACCCAGCATTGGTTATAGTTATTTTATTAATCTGAGAGACCTTAGGTTTTCCAACCTCTCTCTCATCTATACACACAAAACTTATCCTTTTTACATACTATGTCCATATACGTTACATTTTATGTCCACTCGCCATTTGTCAACTGCTGCATTTTTTAGCAGTTAACTTACTGTAATTTTTAAAAATAGTCATTTACGACCGGCGGACGTATATAA